CTAGATGGCGGCTCTAGTAAAGTTGATTTTTGCAGGAAACGATTAGCCCAAAGATAGCCATTTCCGTTCCTTTTAACAAATATATTAAAAACAAATTTGAAAAGTTCGAAATTTAGATATCAACACAAATACGAAAAAGTACACATAGAATATGAGTTGTTTATTGAAAACTAATTAACTTTTATACATAAAAGAAAACAGGAAAGGTTGTCATGGAGAAATCAAGAACGTACCGTAGCGACATCTAGTTTGGTTTCGGGAACTAATGTTTTTTTTTAAATACTTCCTCATTAATAGCATTCAATATAGATATTAAATAGATGTAAGTTAAAATTTTGGCCACTTCTAAAATTTATCATGTCTATAACAACAAGACTCTTTGTAAATTCACATCATAATCGGCCCGGTTATTGTTTTAAAACTAAAGAAACATCGCACGTCGTAAACGAAACAAAAATGTAAAACGATTTCGTGTCAAGATTACATCAAGACAGCATTTATACAAAAATATGGCATTTAAGTGTTTATTCTATTATTTTAGTTATTTTAACATGAGTTGCTAAGAGCAGAGTAAGCTTTTTGATGAAAGTCTAGTCCAGGAATTCTGCGATATCTATTCTTTTAAATTATGCATTGCATTTTATTTACCAAGTTTATATATTTTATTTACCTTTTTAAATTTTAATGTAGAGTTCAAGTTTTAAAAACATATAACATTTTAGGAATTTTAAACGAAATTAACACTTTTATATTATTTGAAATAGATAGTATATATATTTCGATTGAAAGGTTGCCTGGAAGAAATTATTTTTTTGTAAAACGGCCGCCAATTGTGCATTTAATGTAATTGTATTCGATTGTTTTGTCCTGTATTGGTGTACAGTAAAGCATATTTCATTCATTCATTCATATCATGTAGTATGAATCGTATGCGAATATAAGAAGTGTAGTCATTCCTATAGGGGTGGTGTAAAAGTGATTATAACATTTTATGCGTTTAAGCAAATACCCATCAAATCATCTCATATATTATCATATTAACATTTGCATATGGATTCTATTTTGGTGTCAATGTCATTTAAAATACTTTTCCTCGATTTTCCCTTAGAGTTGATATTTTTTAAAATATAAAAAACAAATTTTCAATTTTTGTCGTAATAATAGGAATCACATAAATGAATGAATAAGTTCTTTACTTTACATCATTTTAGAAAAAAGGTTAGTTGTACAATCGGCGGCCTTATCGCTAAGTAGCAATTTCTTTCAGGCAACCGCAGGTTAGACAGGACTGTTATTAAATAGACGGATAATAGATGGTGTCTCACTTGTCCAGAAAACTGTCAGAAGGATATATAATGATTAAATTCCTTATATAATTAAAATATTTCCTTAAACAAGAACGTAAAATTATTTTAATGTATTTTACATTTAACCAAAATAAATTATTTTTTATTTCAAATGGCCAAGTACTTCAAATATCACGCTATGGTTATTTAAACCAAACTTTATACGGCGATTAACTTATAACAAAAGGCTATTTTAACTAAACGTTATATCACTAACGACTCGTTTTGGTCGGTTACATAATAACTAGTCATTCCATGTCACCACAATGACACTTACCAAGTTCATCACATCAACGTACTAATGCCTCAACTGCTCACAGGCCTTCCCTATGGCTTTCCTTCCCTATATAAAATAGAATCTTATAAGGACAACATAATGCAGGCCCAGTCCGAATTGGTGGATGCTAATGACTCACATATAAGTTTTATTCTTAAAATTACATACAAGGAATCAAAAAATGGCGATTTACATCTAGTTTATGAATTTAGAATTTAAAGTTAAGAATGTCTTAAACTGTACTTAAACGTTATTCAACAGATTTTCGTTTCAGATTTTACGTTTTTGTATAAGAATATATTATTATATGATGAGTTGATAGCAGTCTTTATAAAACTAAGACTTTTCGACTTGTGAAATGTAAAAAACTTTGGTTATCGATTATACTCAGTGTATTGTTGTTAGTTCATAAGTCGCCGTTAGAGGTAATTTTCTGATGTCTTTCTGTCAAGGATATTTTTGAATTTACGATGTTGTTTTCTCACTGTTTTTGAGGTATTTAAAGTGTTTTTAACAATGGTATCATAACAGCCTCATAAATACAACTTATTTTTCCTATAATCTTAAAAGCTGATAACGCTAAACTAGTTAATGTTACTCAATTGAATCAAGCGTTTGTTTTAATTTTTAAACATATAAAACTTTAGTGATATTTACAATACCATTTTTAATTATAGTTCCCTAAGAATATTGAGTTCTCGTGTTAATTTATAAGACATGTTAAGTATGATGCCAGTAGCCATCAAAAATTATTTCAAAATGCTTGTAATAAACTGTTATTTTACTGGGAGAGTCGTTGATGTCTTTTATATGAATAGTGATCGCAAGAATTGATGATTCGCAAAGTCCAGCCTACTTGATAATTAAAGGCCACTTTGAAAACAACGTGTATTAACAACTAGCATTTTTATTATTATAATAATTAAATTAAACTTCCATTTTTAATTCATTTTCCTTGTGATCATTCAATTATTCAAAGTCAAATTCAAAATTGTCTTTATACAAATCAGCTTATTAAAAGTAATTTTGAGTCGTCCAATTTTTTATCTGTTATCTGGAGAGCGGCCATGATGGCATGGCAAATTTCTTTTCATTTTACTTCTTTGACATATTTTTAAGTGGATAAGTTTGGATAAATAAATAAATGATTAAATTGGTAACACTGTTGTCATATCCATAATCATCATTCTCTAGCATTCGTTCGTTGTTATTAAAGTACATGTCATAGTAGTGAAAGAAAATGAAATATCACTACAAAATCGCTAAGATGGAGTAGAATGTAAATATGTAAAAAATAAAACAAGAACATTATAAAAAATGAGCAATTTCAGTGATAAGATCAATAAAAAGTTTTATAGCTATGGTTTTGGTTATAGCAATAGAGTTAGGCGATCGCCCAGTAGATTTCTTTTTGGGTTGATAAGAAGAAGCAACGAAAGATACTTACTCTCTAACAGAAGTAAATATTTTTATTTTGTTATAAAGCACAAATATTTAATCAAATAAAAGTCACTTCAAAAGGTACCTAGTAAAGGCTTTATTTCTTTAAAGGTCTATGACGTGACAGTGCTGACTTCGCCAACGAGTTTGAGACGAAAATCATGCCATAACCAAATTAGCAATATTTATATGGATAAGTTAAGTATATTGAACCACTTTTACTATGGCAGCAACACTAATTTCATGAAAAAAATAATCAGGGTTCGAATATTTTCCAGTATAGCATTGTGAAAACAGAATTGATCAAATTTAATAAAGGTATAGAGGAAACAAAAACTCGTCTCCGCAGAGGCGGAACGTAGGCTGTGTGTGGCGGACGATGACGTCACTCGGATAACACCTTGATATCCTATTTCGATCACAGATATAGAAATATATATGGACAACATTATGCACTGGAGGCGTTACTAAATGAAGTATGATAATCAGTACTATGATTATTAGACAACATACGTGTCACGAGGATTATAATTTTAATGTACAAGATTTCAGTCTGAAATATCTATCGGACAATGTCAAAAAAATGTTACAAATAAAAAGATTCCTTCGAAGATATTTTATCAAATTTGAAAAGGAAAAAGCCAATTATTGATATATTTTACTGGTCCATAAAAATACAATCGTTTAAAATACGAAATAGTATTTAATCTATAATACTCAATATAATACTAGTCTATTACGGCCAACATCAAAAGAGTTTTTAACAAAATAAAGACTTTCAGCTTCCGTATATAGTCTACTGATCGAGGACTTTAGTTCGCGAATTATCTATGCACCTAGGCCATAGTATCAAACCTTTTGACTTGCGGTATTAATATCCAAAAAAAAAGTATAAATATTTTGAATACTATCATGAAACTATATTGATGGCACATATTTATGTTTTATAATTGATTCGGAGATGTTTGTTGCTAAGAAATAAAAAAAAAAAACATATCCAACGTGCAGAAAAGTCAATACAAAGCTCTTTTTGACATTCTTATTTCAAATTCAAAGTCTGTAGTACCAACGTTTTATTGTCTTGTTATTTTGTTTTCAAAAATCATTTTACATTTGACGATATATTATGGAAATGATTTTTTTATTTTTATTATGATAACTCTGTGAGCTTTTCTTTGGGTTAATATTTCTTATTATGATACAAATGGTATTTGTTTCTCTTTAACGCATTTTATTTTACAGAGTAATATATTATTTAATTAATTCACGATATTAGAATTCATAACAAACATAATATCATAATAAAAACAGGTTTTACCCTGCCTTAGTGAACAGTTAAATGATATAGATAGCGTCGCTTAAATTGAAAGATAATATCGCCAATAGATACTTGCTACTTGCACGTTGACAGTCTGGGATTTTACCAGACAAAAATATGAATAAAACAATTTTGAATACCTTGACACGGAAAGTTGTCAAAAAATATGACAGAAATGAATATTTAATTCTTAACTTATTACGTGTTTTTTATTATTATATATAAGAAAATACTCAGTGCTTTTCCTTCTATGATGACAATAAAAAGATCTTGAGCATAAAATGATGCATTCGCCAGAATAATGTAGACACATTAATCAGAAAAGTTGTATTCACATTTCTTATTGACCGTACATTAATACTTGTTATTTGTTTAGTATAAAAAATGAAACGTATCTATCTATACTGTGGTACTGGTAACAGGCGTTAAATTACTTACGTATCAAGGACGAAACTTAATTGAAACAATTGCATATTCTTATTGTTTTAATTCTGCAAAGTTCACGAACAACTTCCTGGATTTTTAAAAGTTTTTCCTTGTCAATAATACAAAGAAAGTAAACTAAGGGTTACAGATTTTATTAATAAATTTCACATTAATTAGTTGCAATAAAACTTACCATACAAATAGTCCTTTCCGGATTACCGGTGACAGAAACTAAAAAGTAAAAGAACAAACCACAAGCAGCACTAATCACAAAACGAAATCTAAAACCAATCGCTCAATGAGGTAAACACTAGATCAATTTTCGTGGTCACTTTAAAACTTTATACACTGTGCGCCTTTGCCACATTAGTAAATTCAAAATTTAAAAAGTTGATAAACACAACACAAATGTTGGCGCGCAGTCTGACAGGAAAACAAAATGGCGTTAAGCAGCCGCTCTCCTCAAGATCTCGAGGTCGACTGAATGAGTTAAATTGGCGAGTGAGAGAGCCTATTACGTAGTCTAGAGCCTTTACTGCAAATAATAATTCGTAGGAGGCCGAACGCCAGCAAGGAAAACAACTTGTTTTTAATCTAATATCAAGTTTGGTATTTGACAAATCAAGATGGCGACTGTTACAGTTATAATTGTCATATTATTGGCAAGGATTTTATATTAGAACTTCGTTGCAAAACTGAACTAGTGAATTGAAACAATTTTTAGAAGCTTTATTTTATTAAAAAAAAGTAGTGGTTCTTGTAATATCAAAAGACACAGGAACAAGATACGAAGACAAAGCAAACGTCCTTGGTTAGGGGTTCTTTCTTTCTTCCAAATAGGTATATTAGGTAATAAGGCTGTATCTAGGTTTTAGATGGGATATTTGAAATCAAGATTACGAAAGAAAAAAAACCTGATAATTTTAAAATGAAAGGGAGCTTAGGTTATTGGCGTAGAGTCTAGTTTAGCTGTGTATCAAGTCTGTTAAAGTTCATGAATGATAATCAAAGTATCTTCAAGTCACGCTTATAAGCCATTTGATTTCTGCTTGCTACTTAAAGTGTAACTCAAAGACAATATAGCACGCTACTGAGATGCGGTTAGAGATTACTTGTTAAAACTCTCATGGTAACAAAGAAGGTGTTCCTTAGTCAATTTATACGAAAAGAAGATATTTTTTTTTTTAAAATATAAAGTTTTTCCACTCTTAATATCCGTTTTGGTTTTGCAGGTTTTTTTTCTTAAATGCCCGGCTTTGCATATTTGGCCGAGCTTCCTATCTGCTCCCCACTTTTTAGCAGGCCTGGTTTTGCAGGTTACTAAGTGTTTGCTTTCCAGCGTCGATATGTTCTATAAGTTTCAAATGCAGCTGCCACAACATAATATAACTAGAGTAATGGTTAGAGAGTAAGGCAATCGGACTCCTTAAGGGGGCTTACCACTCTGTTTCTTCGAAAACGAAATTTTATTTGAGTATGGAAACGATAATAGGTATAACTCCATAAATCGCACTATTCGACAATTTATAATGCAAACGACGTGGGACCAGCCCTGCGATTCTTCTGTAAATATCCAAAGCCGTATTGGAATTCACTTAAAAAAGCGTTATCCGCTCAATCTTGAATGAGGAAGTATTTAAAAATAAAAAGAAAGCACCTACACTAGATGGAGACTGTAGCAAAAGTTGATTTTTGCAGGAAACGAATGAACCAAAGATAGTCATTTCCGTTCTTTTTAACTAATATATAAAAAAAACTGAAATTTGCAACGTTCGAAACTTAGATATCAATACAAATACGAAAAATTTCAAAGAGAATATGAGTTGTTTATTGGGTTTGAAAACTAATTTACATTTATACATGAAAGAAAACCGAAAGGGTTGTCATGGAGCAATCAAGAAAGTACCGTAGCGACATCTAGTTTATTTTCCTCATTAGTAATAACATTTCGTGGCATAATTGAAGTAAGTTTCGAAATGACATAGGTATAGAATATCTGATACTAATAAAAATGGAATTAATAGACTTCCTACACTAAATGCCGTGAATTCGGGCACATGCATGAATTCGAATTCGGGGTCTGGATTTTTACAGAATTGCAGGACTGAGTGTCAATTTCTGCTTCTAATGCAGAGTAATCTTCACGAATATTTATAGATATTTTCACAACATTTTCAGAAATTTCGTTCGTGGTTAAACAGAGAATACTATCAGGTTTTGCCATTGTACTATCTACCTGAAATCCAATATTATTATATATCTGTCACCATTGATGTGTGAGGTAGATATAGCACTAATAATATTGAACTGAGGTATATAATACAAGGGCAAAATAAAAGATACAATTGATCTATCAGATAGGAGTGATTACTTTCCACCATTGTTAGAGCTAGGGAGCATTGCACGGTGCCTCATATTTTGGGGAAAACTGGGGTTCCACTCGCAAAAGGGCCGAGGAGGAGTCCAAATAATTAATGCGATACACTGCTATTGCCTAATCTCCACCAGCCTATGAATTCCTTATTACTGGGGCTCAAGCCTACCCTATGGAAGGAATTAAATCAAATAGAGATTGGGCCGTAATACACCGCGCGGGCCCACTGCGTAGTTGTGGGTGCTAACGACTGCAGATGTAGACAGGAGCAAACGGTTTAACGTGCCTTCCAACGCTCAAGATGATAAGTTTTTTTATCATCAATGCTGATACTGAAATTATGATCAATATTTCTGCCTTTGCAATTGGCAAATGGTTAATAGTCGTCTAAAACGATGTTTATAACAATAAACTAAAACATAACGCAATTAATTATTCTCCCTTTTGTATATTTTACCTAGAGATAATAATTTTAAGGAAATATAGGTTTCTATTGCAACTAGCAAAATATCCATGTTTTCATGTTCTAGATGGGGTTAATAGACAGTCATTGGAATCTGAATAGTTATTGGATAGTCTCTTTTTATTTGCTAAAAATAAGATAACAACAAACAAAAAGCCACATCTATAGCTGTTGATAAAATCTATTAGTACTTAACATTGTTATAGTTCATAGGTTTTATAACGGATGGCAATAACAGTGTCAAAAAAATCATTTCCCGGCGGCTTAGTTTAATTTTGGCATAGTGGTAAAAGTTATTGCTTGGGCAGTTTGAAGATTGGTAAAATATCATAAAATTTAAATGATTATGTGACTTTTAACTCATAAGTGTTATATTTTGAGGTTATTTTCACCTGTCCAGTGATTGTATGCTACAATTTAATAAAAAACTATTATTGGACAGTGTCCAATAACTATCTTTTTTCAGAGCTTTAAGTTTCTATGGTGTTTTTTGCGTTCATTTTAAGCATTTAAATGTCTTATGTCTGTACTTTCAATTTCAAGTATCGCGGACTATTCAGTCAATTATTGGACGCTGTCACTTATTGAATAATAATGATGATGAGGATGAGATAAGCTTGGAAGAACATTCTAACGATGAAGCTAATAATACCGTCGAAGACTTAGAGGCAAAAATGCTATTCGATATATACCAAAAAAGAGAAATTCTGAAATTTTAATGTGTTTCTAGCAATTTTTCTACCTATTTTTAATTTCTTTTGTGACCAAAAAGTTCCAAATAATAATTTTAATTTGTTACTCTTCTAAAGGTTTTCATTAACAATGTTTTTCAGATTTTATTTCTTTAAATATATATGATCTCCAACGTTCAAGACTGATTAGTGTTTAATAATGAATAATTTGCATATTATGTACCTTAACTATTTAGTTTTCAGAGGTTTTTTATGACATTATATTATTAAGAAAAGCAATTTTCGTACTAATAATAGTAAACAAAATGTTCTTATGGTGTTTTATTATGTGTTTAACTATTCACTATATTTATCGCCTGTCCAATAATTGTTTCCGATTGTCCAATAATTATATATTTTTTTTCCAATAACTGTGTTTTTGTTCATTTTTTTTAATATAATAATATTTTTCAACTGTTCAATAAGAAGTAAGATTTTAAAATGATTCTTGTAATAGCTCATTTTATCTAGTTTCAAAATATCTCTACAGTTTCTAAGATACTGTAATAGTCGACGGAAATAAAATCTTCAAACTATTTTGTCCAATAACTGTCTGTTTATCCTATTATACTAAACGTTAAAATTTAAACATTATTTTACTATATTGCAGAAAGTTATATTTTAATAATATAAATTTAAAACAGGATAAAACAGTCGTATCCCAGTAAAATTATCTTGATGAAGCACGTATTTACATATATGTATATAGCTCTGTTAACTAGTTCACGAGAATTTCAGTCCATGTAACGCCACCTATGGATCGTATTATTCAACTAATAGTGCCATCTAGCAACGCTTTGCTATACTGCTGAAGCTCTTTCTCTCGGAGCCTCGCTAGTCGCACCCTGCCTACAAACTATTATACTAATAATTTAAAAAGATACCTGATATATTCGAATTACAAACCCATCTCCAAATCTTTTGTGAAATAGGTTTACCGTGTATTATTATCACATTGGCATTTTTTGCTTATGAAAAGTCTGACCTGTTTTTATCCCTAAAATGTGACCTGTAAGATCTAATTTTGTGAATATTTTATTTATAGAGTTTTAAAATTAGTGATGAGCAGTGCAATAAATATTAATAGTTAGTTACCTATTCCATATTCTTAATTGTTTTTCTTATATCAGTGAACAAATACCTTATAATGAAATAATATTTTATTAAATGGAAATTCTTAACATAATTTAATTTAAGATTGTTGTGACTTTTGAAATTTTATTAGAGAATATACTAATGTTAAACCTATAACAATTACTTATATTTCTTTTTGACTGTCGACTAAATTATATTAGATAATACGATAACTAAGTAGTAATAAAATCGTACTGAAAAAATTGAGCAAAATGTCGTTCGTGAAGTGTTGTTTCGAAGCTGGAGAAGGCCACGATTTTTTAGACACTTTTGTCCAAAAATGTACTGATCCCGGATGTAAGTATTAAAACGTTATTATTTTTTATATTAGGTGATTTAAAAAAACATTTGAACTACGAAAACATTTCTATATCTATACATTACTTTCATACATAATTTACTGTTGTTCATATTTTCATGTAAACATCAGTTTTATTTTCGCAACTTTTATTCAATTTCCATTGTGAAATATTATTGATTTTTTACTTGAATCTACCGCCGCTGCAAGACCGGAAATTTTCCGGAATTGATTAAGCTTTTTGTTATATCAAAACATTATTTTAGTTAGTTCACTTATGTACATGCTTGATATATAAGTTTATCATTTACTACATAATCAAAAAAATCAATGATAATGAAATTAGTAATCATATAGTTGTAGAAAAACTTGACTACAAGACGTTTGGTCTAGTAGTAAAAGCACGTGAAACGGAACGCAGCTTTCTATTAAAGTGGGCGTTGACAAAATGAGTATTGTTTATTTTCGATAAATATTCGTTTTTCTATACATACTATTGTATAAACATCGAAGATTGCATATAATAATGGCTCAAGGTATGGTTAAACATTTTTTTTAACTGTTCTTGCGGATATTTTCATTGAAACCGTGTTAACAAGTTTAGTTAAATGACATATGGATCTCCTTGTGGCGCCATCTTGACAGACCTGTCATTTCTTCTCGTGCTTGTTCGCGTTCGTGTTATATTGATTTTATTTACCGTGGTATTTTTTGTAATATACATTATGTGACAATACAATTGAAATCTAAGGTGTTGCTTTCTATTGAATCTTGTGATAGTGGGTGTGTTGAATTCAGCTAGTTCCAGTAACATAAATAAAAGGATAGCATCATGACGACAACGACAGTCCAAAACCAAACGAAAACTAACAATGCCACTCCAGCCAAACCGCAGAAGAACTATGGGAAGATTGTGCTAACCTTATACAATTGTCTTCTACCGGAATCGGCCTTCAAAGAAACGCCATCACAGGCTGATGGCCTTGACATAGAAACCGAGACTGATTTACGTATCTTAGGATGTGAAATGATCCAGACGGCTGGAATTTTGCTCAAATTGCCTCAAGTTGCTATGGCTACAGGTCAGATATACTTACAAAGGTTTTATTACTCCAAGTCATTTGTTAGATATCCAATGGAAGCAATGGCTATGGGTAGTATTTACTTAGCTTCAAAAGTGGAGGAGAAGCCATGTAGAATAAGAGATGTCATCAATGTTTTCCATCACATCAAGCAAGTGAGGGCACAAAGAACTATAACACCACTAATAGTTGATCAGAACTACATTGAACTAAAAAACCAAGTTATAAAAGCAGAGAGGCGTATTCTAAAAGAGCTAGGATTCTGTGTTCATGTGAAACATCCCCATAAGCTCATTGTAGTTTATTTACAGCTTTTACAATATGAGAAGAACCGTCAGCTGATGCAGATGGCATGGAATTACATGAATGATGCATTACGAACTGATGTTTTTATGAGGTTTCCTCCGGAGACTATTGCTTGTGCATGTATATACTTGACTGCACGTAAAATTGGATTGCCTCTACCGAATAATCCACACTGGTTTTTATTATTTAAAGTTTCCGAAGAAGATATCAAGGAAGTGTGTGTGAGAATATTACAACTTTATAAAAGACCAAAAGTTAATCCTGAAGAGTTAGACAGTAAAGTGGATAAGTTACGTAAAGTATACCAAGCCAACAAGATAGCTCAGAATCAGAAAGATCAAGAATTAGCTAAAGCAAATGAAAAGAAAGCCGAGTCACCCGCAGCATCTACATCGAAAGACACTCGGCGAGATTTAAAGAAGGAAAAATCTCCAAAAACTCCACCGCTTTCTTCTAAATATCATAGTAGTAGCCATAAATCAAAGAAGGAGAGGCGGTCACGATCACCTTATGATAGAAAACGAGAATATTCAAGCAAACGGCACAAGAGTCGTTCAAGAGACCGTGATTTAGATCGTTCAAGGGAGCGACGATCTGACGACAAACGTGGTCGTGGTTCTTCTAGAAAATATGATGACTATGATCGTTCAAAGTCTAGTAGAGACAGTAGGGATGATAAAAGGAAACATTAATTAAACAGATGTAATTTTACTATGTAATAAATGACACATAAATGTGCCAAAAATAATTCTTTTTATTTTTAATTACTCACTACACCCAATTATTTATGAATACTTAAGATTAATTTAAATTCTTTCAATGTCAAATATTTTGATTTTATTTTAAAACAAAGTTTTCCTTATTTGTAAAAGCTACAGTTAGATAATAATAATCTTAAGTTTATAATATGTAACTAATTCAATTTTATATGATTGTAAAGATATGTGTATGTCAGATTGGTATGCAGTGTAGAAATTTGACAATATGCCTATGATAGAATATGGCATCCTGAACATAAAAAAAGAATCATGTGCAGTCACTTGCGACCATGCTAAATTTTTCAATCACAAATCCTGAGTATTTTATTACATAGAATATGTAATTATAGTTTCGGTAGTAGTAGTTTGGATTCTTAGTTTGTGGGCACCCAGGCTTACATTACTCATCAAATTTCTTAATTTTCCATATTGTCTAAAACGTTTTTTATAGTGATATATGAATACGATACGACATATATATCTATACTAATATTATAAACATAAAAGATTTTATTGTTTGTTGGTTTGTTTGTTTGCAAAAATGGGAGTAAAAGTGTGTATTGGGTATTAAAACGTTACCATTATTCAATTTTTTAATGTTTGTTTACTATTCAATTTGTCATTGTAATTATATCCGCGTCATGATATGGAAGTAAAGAGTTCCCTGGGGACGACGCGGGCGAAGCCGCTGGCTAAAAGTTAGTAGGAAATAAATACGATGAGAATATATTTTATTTATTTAATATAATTTAAACGACAACATTATTGCAGTTTTGGTTGTTTGTATTTAGTTTACAATATCGCCTTTTGTTTTAAACGAGTACCTTTCCACTGGGCCCTAGACTGCAGCTCAAAAAGCTCTAATGGCACTTTTTCATTGGTAGATAGAACTCTATCGATGTATATAGAAATGGTAAATTTACAAGCTTGGGAAATTAATGGCGATTTTTATGGGGCCCTTGTGATATTTTTTTCTATACAGGAAATTTTAAAATATTATCTTGTTTTCTCATTTTTAATTAAATATTTATTTAGACGTTTTTTCTTGGTACAAGCCAGTTGAAAGTTAATGACACTGTGTATGAGCCTTATTCAATGGTTGTTTTAGTTGTGGTAGTCGTCAGGACTCGACCACGGCTTCCCAGGTCTCATTCTTCAGCAGAGGGTACACCGTAGGGGTTTTGATGGGAATGACAGTGCCCCCCCCCCCCCCCCCCTCGCCAGTTGGCAGGAGCTGTCCTTTAAGCATTTGCCTCAATGATCGATCGATTAATGAAATGAGCCCACTCCATACGGGCCCTGTCGACTAATATAAATGATCCAGAATGTATACATTTGCAATATTAGGTAGCTTTATTGATTGTCGCTTCTAAAGTCAACATGAGCTTTCATTTTCAGAGATCAGAGTTTCGTATTTGAAATACAATTTTATAAATAGCTCAGTAATCTGTCTCCCGTGATATATCTCGGTCGTGTTCGGTCGTTTCATATTGACGTTGTGAAACAGTGTATTCATAATATTAATAATATTCATTCATATAATAAAACTATAATGTTAATTAATTATTGATAAATATTTTTACTGTCGTATTTACACACGGCTTAACGTCAGGTTAGCACAAGATTAAATCTTAGTTGATTTTAAATTGTATTTTTAAGACATTCAGGTTTAAATTTAATTATGTTGTAATTATAAAAGTATTAAATTGAATAAAGGCAATCTTTGATTTTCTGTTTGCTTTTATAGTAGTAAATCATATGTTAAGGCAGGAACATTTTAGTTGCTAGGTTTTTCAATTTCATAAGTTAATAAGCTATTTCGTGATATCAATTTTAATACCTGACTGCTTCATAATATTTCTCAAACTGTTATTTAACATCTTCCGTTCTTCTTTTATTTAGATAGATATGGTATCACCAAAATATTAATTTCCTATTAAAATTTTACTTATTTAATTTTCTTTAACTCGAAATAAGCGGAGTTTAAATATTGACAAAATATTACCGTTTTTGTCAACTTTTCTTATAGGTTTTTTTTTTATATAAAGTCAACTTTAGGAAACAGAAACATGGTTTTAATGATATTAGTTGATTCGATAAAAAAAATGCAAAATGAATTTTAAACGAATTTACGACAAAATAAAACTATAAGAGCATAGGTTGCTTTATTAGTATATTAAGAAAATCTAACCTCGTGATCCCTATATTCGATACGAATTAGCATGAGAGTGGGCACCGTACTAAACCTGACATTAAAAATAAAGTATGTGTAATTTTGTAATGTATTATAATAAACTAGCTTTCCGCCTGCGGCTTCGCCCGCGTGGTTCATAGGGAACTATTTAGTGGGACAAAAAGTATCCTATTATTTGTCAGGTAATATCTTATCTCTATACCAAATTTCATCAAAATCTGTTCAGTACTTTCGGCGTGATAGACGGACAAACATTCAAACAAAGAAACTTTCACATTTGTAATATTAATAGGATTTATAAATATTCATTACGCTTAACATTATCACTTACTGGTATTCAAATTCACGATCAAATACGCCAACTTTTATATCAATGAAATCGTAGAATTTCTTTTAAAAACTCTATGTACCTACACATTGAATGATTTATCTTTGTTATTATAATATTAGTTCGTCATACAATTCGTTATCTTTAGAACGTTGACGTCTCGACGTCGATCAGAAGTGTCAGTAGTGTGGTGGGCATGGAGTGGTGGGAATATATCACTCCACGTTATTATAGCAGTATTAAGATATTTCACTAATTTATAAATATAGTAAACATATAAATAATTACAGAAGTTTAAAAAGCATAGAGTGAAGATGGAAGTGTTTTAAATGAAAAAGTGATATGAATTATATATGTAAAATACATTTTTATATAAAAATATATCTTTGATTGATGTTTATATTTTGATTTGTGTAGTGTCTTTGGTGTGTTTATATTATTATTTGACTGTCAGGAAGAGTTATTATCTAATAAAATGAGCTGTCTCACTTGGAATAGTATATAAATGGCGTAATGTGAACATAGATGTATAATATTTCAAAAAAGTGTAGAATGTGGAAAATCTAGTAAGCAGAATATTTGTGTTCGAGTGTTATTAAAGAATTGAAAATAATAACGAAATGTTACGGTTACGGAAAGTAGCTCATCGCGCATGTTTCTTCGTCAGTAGAACAGTGTATATGACATGTGAGTATATAGGTAGTAGTATCTAGATAACGTTATGCTATATTATACCTATTCTTTTATGAACTTTTTGATTATCTTCGTAATGGTGTTTATCGATGAATGTAAATTGGAACTTTGAGTGAAATTACATTGTATATCCTTCGTTTTGATTGTGATATTGCTTTGGAACTAGAAACCAGCTTAACCGAGTATTTTTAAGAACGGAACCAGGTTCAATTCCAGATATGCTTCGATCTTTTATAAATTTATGAAGATAGGAAAAATTTAAAGACTCTGAACTATATTAATCTCCGGTAGAAATACTTTCCCTTAAATTCATAATACTTATTTATCAAGTATGTAAAGTAAAACCGTCTAGTTGCTATATTAATAAATTAGGAAAGTTTGTGAATGGGGCCAGTACGATTTTAAAATAGGTACACACGTATGGGCCACGTCTTTATTTAGCTCCAAACATAGACACAAACATAAAAAACAGAATATATCTTGATTTTGGCATGTTGTCTTATATAAAAGTATAACATAAAAAATATTTGGGTAACTCGAATTGTCGGTGGTTATATTGTGCATTTTCCCAGGGGCGTAGTTACGACATGTTAATGATAATAATGGGCCCCGCGCGCTACAGCGGCCCTGTCCTGAGATTAAAGCAAAAAAAAAGTTTTAAACGAAAATTTCACTGAAACTCTCCAATGTAAGGGTGAAAAGGCTTAGAATGTGCATATGGTTACAACCAGGAGCGCACGGACACGGGCACGGGGCGGGTTCAGAGAAATCAGAGTCCTGCAAAGCGATCGCCTAACTCTCTAGTCTTGATTTTAGCCATAGGATACGACAAATTATCAATTTTATGCTGATATTTTTTTTATTTTACTACTTCTATATGTATGAATGCTGAATATGGATTTGATAGCAGTGTTTTCAACTTAGTAATTTATCCCAAATTTATCCCTCAAAAGACATGTCAAAGTAGTAAAATCAAAATAAATATCGTCATACTATTCGCTTAGATGTCGTATCTTATATGACTAGAATTAAGGCTAGAGAGTACAGAGGTCGCACCCCTAGGCCGTCAACGTTTACCTAGATGTCCGAAATAGGATGGTTATTTTTGAAGCGTTTTTCTCTTACAAAAATATTAATATAGTATTCTGAATGACAAATTAAAAAAAAAATATAGAAAATATGTTGGTGTATAAATTAAATTACATATTACACAATAAATTAAGTTAAAATATAAAAAAAAACAAAATTTTCCGCGATAATGCCACTTCTGTCATAGCGTCGCTATATAACATCACGCCACGGCACTTTGAAACGAATATCCTTCTATGTATACGTAAAATGGAATTTTGTAAGTTCTGATACGAGTAAGGGTGTGACCTCACGCGCCGTTTGCGGTCACGTGACAACGAGCATAAAATATTAGTTTTTTCATAATTAGTTTAAGCTATATTATAAGCATAATTGTAAATATCGGCAATAGTATATTAAATACTACTAAAGAAAACAAAGGAATTTATTTTCGTTTACAGTTTACACCCGTATTAATAATTTTTTTCGTGATATGATCACTATTAGCTAGAAGCGGCGACGGTTGTCGCGCTCGCCAAGGGCGCCATTGGCCCTCAATCCGTGACCGACTGAATCAATACTATACTGTGTTTTACGCGGGGAATCCCCATAAGTTACAGCATTTTGCTAGACACAATATTAAAAAGAAAATGTTATACTTACATTGAAACTAAATGGATTCAAAAGTATCTGAACTCAATCTTTTGTTCTTATTTATTGACTTTGATGGCAAAAATAGTTCAAATGTTTCTAAATACTACCTACCGTTCCTATATAAAAGAATACAATAGGAATTCTTTTATTTTTATCCCTTTACATACTTTTAATTTATATTAATGGTCATTTGCGCAAACGTCCATTAAGGTTTCATGATGCGTTTAAGCCCTAATGAATGTCATATTTGTATCGGTAATGTCGCTTTAAACTAATGACAAGTTTAATGGACGTTTGTGCAATTGGTTGTAAGACTTTTCTTGCCAAATCTGATATTTATTTCATATTCTTACAGGTTGTTGTGGCTGCTGCTCAGCGTTGCGTCCTCGCTATAAGCGGTTAGTGGACAACATATTTCCGGCGTCTCCTCAAGATGGACTGGTCAAGTCCAATATGGAGAAGCTCACATTTTACTCGCTGTCCAGTCCTGAGAAACTGGACAGGATCGGCGAGTACCTCTTCCAGAAGGCATCTAGGGACATCTACAGGAGGAGACATGGGTAAAATATACTAATATTATACTATAAAGCTAAAGAATCCGTTTATTTGTCAGATCTTTGGAACTACTTATTTGAATTGAAAAATAAAATTGTTTCGAATATTTATTTATTTATTAATACATATAGGCTATAGACTATTATAACTTCACGTCACGTCAACCTACTACTATTTACATACTCGTGATAACGACATATAATATGTAATATTTTTGGAAATATACATAATTCATACAATATATCATTTTTCAAGTCGCACTCTAAATATGCAATATTTTATTCCGTTTTGCTTGTGATACTTAAGGATAGCTGGACAGTTATCTGTTTTGATTAAATCCTTATCAGTGTGATAATATGGTTTAGTTTCCGTCATCTCGTCATGTTTCGATATCTATGCATCACTACCATAAAAGAGATAGCGATGATTTGCTGCGGGAAGTGAAATTTACTTCAATGAATGTGTGAATGTTTTCTATATAATAATAATTTCATTATTATTAGAAGGATATTTAAATAAAAGATAAGTATTGTATATCTTCAAAAGAAACTCGGGTATTGATAATATATTACACAAATACACACATTGTATTATCAAATGTATATGTCGTGGCCAGATCGTAGAATAGATTAATGATGCAGCCGCCAATTTCATTAAATGGAAAAAATTACTGACCACATTATGTTGTGGCTTGGCAGAACAATGAATATTCTGCGTTTAACGATGTGGACAGAACTGTTTGTATGACTGCTTCATGATTTCAAAATCAAACTAAAAAAAATGTTTATTCAGTTTAGGCTTTTACAGAGCACTTGTGAAAGTCGAAAACTACGCCATCGTTTCGCAAAACTACGGCGGGAGACCTTGTACTGAGAAGAACCGGCGAGAAACTCAGCAAAGGCTGTTTTTTTCTCCCTGTTTTATTTCCCACGGGGAAGTCTTATTGAAAAGTGACTTCATTAGAAAATGAAGTCACTTTCCATTACAATATTAGAAAGTTAAATACAATAGTTAAAATATTTAACACTATGCCTTTTTGTTGTTTAGATATTCCTTAACGGTATAATATCCTTTACTTTGTAGACATTTTTTTGGCCAAGCATTACTGATCATATCGTAAAATTCTTACATTAGTCTCCGTTAAAGGCGCCGATGTCGCATGGACGGGTGTATTTTCATTTATAGGTTATAACAACAAATAAAAGAAAGTAGTGTGACCAAAGTTAAGTGATATAATTTTAGAAGTTTATGTGCGGAGGTGCGGCGGTGAGGGCTGTCTATCTATTCCGTGGTTTATGGACATGTCGGAGGATCGTGATAAAGACAGGATTTAGATCTAGATCTAGAGGATGGTTAAATTATATTGGAGGAGTTTTTGAGATATTATTTGGACTACTATCTATGATTCACTACTGTAGTTCACGTGATAGGTTTGTTTTTTTCGTTTTGTATATATTCGAGTATTCGAGGTTTTTTTTTTTCAGACCACTGAATCACATAATATTAACGTACAAACAAGCTATTTCAGAAAATTGTTAGGTTTCTTTTTTGGACACCCTTCATTAATGATATGGCCAAACAATGATTGCCACTTATTAAACGGTGATATTTAAACGATATGATCAATTTTTGATGGTATTTTCATGAAAAATGCATATGAAAAAAAAAAACGCGGCCGGCCGCATCATTAAATGTTCACTTTCTACGACCTGGCTACGACATACTTATATACACAGTGATCTCAGCCTATGTATCATGCATAACATTAGAAACGTTTTGTATATACCCAAATGTTACTTTGCTCAGGTCTCAGTAGCATAAAAAACAAAAATATTTTGATTTCTCTTCAGGTTTGTGATAATAGCCATGGAAGCGATGGACCAGCTCCTGCTTGCATGCCACTCGCAGACACTGAACTTGTTCGTAGAGAGCTTCCTGAAGATGGTTCAGAAACTGTTGGAGTCCACTGATCCTCAGTTGCAGATCCTTGCGACGCAGAGCGTGAGTGTCGTTTATGTGTATGTTACTGTGAAAACCCAAGTTCGGTAAATTTTAAAGATTTTCTTGTAAATCTTAGATTTATCAATGTAATGGTTAAAGTTCGATGATGCATTTGTTAATCTTAGGTCTTATCTCAGGGACACAGTAAATGTTAGACAACTGTAAATGTACAGCACCTAGATGCATTTTTTGTGCATACAGTAACTTCTGGTTAGATTAGGTTAATATCATGCTAATCTAATTTAGTTAACTGTACATTCTAATAATTGTAATTACGTATGACCTCTTATTTTACTTCTATTACAATAACATAACGCAAGTATACATGCACTTATAACCACAAATGTCATAACCTCAGTGGCCCTTATCTTCTATATTTATTGAATCACGCCATCTATTCTAGGAATTCCGAAACTGCCACACAATGTGACAAAATAATTGTTACTTACGTGATTGCTAACATATATATTTTTTTCGAGTCCCCGATATTTCGGGTTGTAAGCTCCATGATCACGGAGTAACCGAAGTCTTGCGTGTAAATGTTATTGTTAGGTATATTGGTATACCGATGGCTTATTCTATTGAAAATGATCATGAAATTTTAAAACAACAAATATGACAAAAGTTTTACAAAACTACATACGAAAGTTCAGCGAAAATGTTAAGTAGAATAACTTTTCTACCACTGACGGCTAGTTGGCGTTTTCCTTAGTATTTTTTTTTATTTATCTTTTAGTTTGTCCGTTTTGCGAACATAGAAGAGGATACCCCATCGTATCATCGGCGATACGATTTCTTCGTGTCGAAGTTTTCAGCGATGTGTCACAGCAATCATAGTGATGTTGTGACCAGAGACAAAATCAGATTGGCTGGAATACAAGGCTTGCAGGTATGATCTTTAGAATGACAATATTTACCTTTATTTAATGTGTGATAAGGTCGAAAATCATCTACTAATGTCTATTAAGAACAATGAATAATGTACTATGAACCACTGAATATAATCCGTAATGAAATAATCAAATAATTTATTTTAATTATTTTAATATTACGGTTGTTTTATTTATATTTATGAAGAAGTGAATGATTTATAATTGTTTTAGGGTGTCATAAGGAAAACTGTGTCTGATGATTTGGTTGAAAATATATGGGAGGCTCAACATATGGACAAGATTGTACCATCGCTACTTTATAATATGCAGGTAACATAAGCGAAATCACAAATAATATAATTCTCCTAATCTCAATCTTCTTGACTCTAGCGTTTGTTGTTCTTGTTTTTGCATTAGATGGCGCTATAGAGGAAGCTAACGGCTTGTGTAGCCTTGTGCTTTTGATATCTATATTATAAAGAAGAAAGATTTGATTGTTTTGTTTTTGCATCGAATAGGCTCTGAAACCACTGGACCCATTTTGAAAATTCTTTCACCTAGGAAGCTACATCAAACGCAGTTGACATAAGCTAAAATTTAAGGGGGTAGGAGAACAGCTTGTATATAAGTACATTTTCATTCATAAAAACATCATATTAAAACATTAGCGTCATCTCTTGACATTCGAAACGAATGATACCGTGACACCTGTTTCTACATTTGAGATTTCTCATGATATTCATGTTTTCAGACGGCTGAGAAATATGAAACTGTATCTTGTATGGAGACGGATACTAGAGATGGGGCTGAAGAGAGTCCGCCACGTTTAGCTGAAGCATGCCTCAGGGAACTAGTGGGGCGAGCGTCGTTCGGACATATACGTAGTGTACTCAGACCGGTACTCACGTGAGTATACCATGACTAAATAGATTGTTTGTTTTTAATGCAATAAAATGTTTCTCTGTATATATATATCTATCATCTGATGATGATCTCTTGTGATCCAGTCTATTAATGGACACTATCCCATTATTATCCAATTTATATGCCCCAGCAGTGGGGAATAAGCCTTCCCTATAGATCGCATTCGAATAGGGAGAACGCGCCCACCACTTGGGTCCAGTGTTGATGTGTACGACTTAACGTGCCTTCCGAAGCAACGAGTATCCCGACATAAATTTTGGTCACCCACCCTATTACCTGACGTTGCGAAGTTGCTTAATTTCCGCATCACAGACTGAATGCGCTAACTCGGTTTGCGCTAGTTAGCTCCTATTTAACTAAACACTACTATTTGTGGGTAAATTATGACACTTAATACTAGTATGAGATATATATTAATAATAATATACTTTGAGCCACTTGTTTTGTAACAAAAATCTCATCTGTTATACATGTCTATTTAAAATGACATTGTTCTCGTCTGATTGATATTTTTTTAATTCAATTAAATTATATGCTTCATGCATCTGTTTTGTTTACATACCAATATGACACAACAAATATGGCGAACAGCGTTTAAGCGGGAATGGGCCCCGGTTTGCTCCCCTAGATCCGTCACTGATTAGCAGCTGTGGCTATTGCTTCTGATAGAATTTTTCTCTAGCCAATGCAATTTGTACACATATTAAATATTACTTATAGTCCGGCCGCCGAATAGAGAAAATTTTGCATTACATGTCTCTTTCACTCGTGCGCAAATATATTGCTATTGGACTCACACAGATGCATCTAGCTAATTTTGTCATAGTAAAGTAAAACTAAAATAATTAATATGTCAGTAAGCACAAAAGTTAATGTACAAAATTCTCTGTTTGTTAGCTGGACAAAAATATTAATAACAATAACAAAAAAGTTTAGTTATATAACAGCCGGACATTTATTTGTATTTGAATTCTTTTGTTTTCTTGAAATTTTATTTTTTCTGAATTTTCTTTCAGACATTTCGATCGTCATGAGCTTTGGGTGCCTAACGATTTTGCAGTGCATACGTTTAAAATCATCATGTTCTCCATCCAGGTATGATATTTTATTCATGTGATAAAAGTAGAATATTATAGCGGGGACTGCCCCCCCCCCCATCCAGATCCGGTCCTGTTGCACTTGTAACGACTAGAATAGGATGAAAAATATTTATGAAAACTTAACGTAAACATGTTCTAAAATATTTCAACCCAAAATTTTCATATATGAGAAGATCATAGAAACATATCAAATTAATAACCTGAAATTTAAATAACTAAGGTATCTATAACGGTCGGACAAGTCCTTTTTGGACCTTAATCCTATTCACAAATAATGTATTTCTGTTGTTGCTAATACCTAGGTAATATTAAAAACCAAATAAAATATTTTGCCTTTTTGATAGACAATGGTGCGTAAATCTACGTGCGCGAGTTCGACTCGCTTGATTTCGTACATTTTTAATCACAAAAAAAAAATACAAATGTAATTATAAAAAAATCTTGTTTGTATCTTAGATTATATTAAAATTATTTTTTTATATAGTTAAGATGAAATATATTACTCGTAAAAGCGATCTTAAAAACCTATTTAGAGTCATCTTTGCGGTTTCTTTCTATCGAACCAATTATTGTAATTTATGTTTCTGTTTTTAGAAAACAATCGATCATAGGTCTAATTTTCATAAAATTATTTTTATTTGGCAAATATTATAAAAGCCTTCGAATGAAATTGGTTTAAAAAATAGTAATTTCGTACAACTTCGCCTTAAATAGGTATTCAATTTTGTTTTGTTAGGCGCAATATTCGTACAGCGTGGTGGAGGCTCTGATGCAGCATTTGGACGTGGGCGGTCCAGCGGCGGGGCAGCCGCGCGTGCGCGCCGCCCGGGCCGCGGTACTCAGCAATATTGTCGCCATCGCCGCCGCTGACTCCGTAGGTAAGATTTCATCATCGTCATTACCATCAGCACGACATCATTATCAACAGCATCGTCATTACCGTCATCGTCAGGGGCTAATTGTCAGTTTTAAAATCCATCGCAATCCTTTTCGATTTGACATTTGAAATATATTTACGAATTTCGCACTACAACTATTCGACATGTGATACCTATTGCGATTGTGACGTTTTTTTAAAGATATCATTAATTTGACGTTTATTGGAATTGTCTGCAAGCTTTCAACTAGCTAAAGTGAATTATCGTTCCTTCCAAAAGCGATTGCGTCTTTAAAAGTTATATGATTCCATAAATCGCTAGCACAATTATTGTACCTTTGAAAGGGATTGCAATAGATCTTAAAATTGGACCATTAGCCCACAGCTTATTAATAAATCTAGTGTCTTAACATATGCTGTTTAAAGATAGAATTACATAGTAGGAAATAGTGATGCAACAAATATGACTTTAATGAAAACTAATTTCAAATCCACTATTCGGTGAATACGAATACTTGAATCGGTATTTGTGAAAGTTGCTGAACATGGGAAAGCTGGGTAGTAGACTGGATCTTTTAATTCTTTTTTATTAATTCTAGTAGCTAAACTACAAAGAAGTATTTGAGTGTTACATGTCAGAATTTTAATATGATATAAAAAAAATATAACTCAGTCATGGTAATAAGGTACGCTAAAAACTGTATGGTACTTAGAAATGTTGTTACTTTCATAATAATATTACACATTCTTTTCAGGGCCTTCCGTATTGGAGATAATCAACAATTTACTGACAAACCTGAGAGCTTCCGTCGCGAGGGATTCAGAGGTAAGTTATATGTACGTTATAAATTTTAAATTCATGCAATATCAATGTAAATTATCGATTTTGCATTGAAAATGCATAAATATTCACCATCAGCATGAACTGATATTATAAAAGGGAAGATTTTGAAATATTATGTTTTATTGAAATGTGACGTCACACGATGCTTCGTCATGGCTGCCGGCGTTTCGGTTCTTTTCATCCATAGATTACAAATCAAGTTGATTTTGCAAAGATAAAATGTACATACAATTTATTTTTAAACAATAAATACATTCATTTTTTTATGTCAAGTAGCTAATTGCTTATTATTTTTTACAGAAAGAAACTGACGAGAAATTGTATCAGGACGCTTTGATAAATGCTCTGGGAGAATTCGCTGACCATTTGCCGGACTTCCAGAAGATAGATATAATGATGTTCATTATCAGCAAGGTTCCTAGCTCGCAGCGCGGCAAGGGGGCGAAGCCCGACGCTATGCTGCAAACTATACTTCTCAAGTCTCTACTCAAGGTGACCATGCATGTGTATTATATTATTAGAAAGGAAAAGACGACTACTACTGGCAGCACTTATAGGGATGACGACTGAGTAAAAAAAAGAAATTCTATTTAGTCCGTCAGTTAGAAACAATAATAATCTTAGACACGTATTTCTTTTGCTTCAATATAATAAAAAAGAAACTGAGATAATAGACATTAAAGTTAAGGAGTGGGGGCTCGCTACGTCAGTTTTGTAAAAAAGTGTAACGTCGTGCAACATTTCAATTCGATGTATCGCCGTAATTTATTTATTTCGCAAAAAATAAAAATTAAATAATGTTCAATAATCTTCCTGACGTACAAAAAAAAAAATTTTGTCATCATCCCTATTCGATCCCTAGTCGATTTAACATTGTCACTTTGACTTTTGATCAGTTTCGCGCCAATATAGATATACTTCTGGGTTCTTGTAAAACTATCAAATGCTAAATGGTGTCAAATAACGATAACAAAAATTCCTTAAATTTTTATAGTTAGTAACGATTGTATTTAGGTTTTCTTTTTAACTGACAGCTGTTTGACATCTTAAGTATATCGATACAAATCCAACCGAATTAAATATATTTGATAAATTATCCTAAATAATATTCTTTTAGTTATGTTTAAAAAGGTCACGATTAATCGAAAATCGATATGAATAGATCTTATCGATATTCAATCTGGACATTATCTATTTAAACTGATTTTTGAAAATAAACCTATGTGTCTTGCTAAGGTGTCTATAGTTAATTTTTTCATTGTCACGTCATTTTGAACAATGAAGTCATGGTTTGTTGTAACTAGGGATGTAACGATACATATTTTTGCCGATACGATACCGATACCGATTTTAAACGAAAATAATCGGCGATACCGATACAGATACCGATATTGATGGCTTAAAGTACTTTATGTATATTAAACAAATTTGAAGGAAGTTAATAAGATATTGACACTAGGTCCTGAAGACTGAAGGAAAAATACTTAGATAATAAAAAATCAGTTATTAGAATGGAAAAAAAAACGTTTATTAGTTTCAAATAAAATCAATCACATAGTTATTAATTAACCCTAGACACCTAACCTTTCGGCCTGCCAAAAACAGATAATGATATTAGTGTGGCGTACTCTTCAATTCGACGAAAGTTAGGTGTCTAGGGTTAAAAAAGATACATAAAGTCAGTAATTAAAGTTTACTTTTGGTAGATTTTTGTTAAGAAAACAAAGTTTATTTAAATTATCAGCAGATAATCTGTTACGCAAATCATTTTGTATCAGGCCTGCAGTTGAGAAGAGACGTTCTGAAGCAACTGAGCTCATTGGGTAAGACAAATATTTTTGTGCAAGCTTTTTTAATTTTGGATATTTATCTTCTTGGCGCCAATAGATCTTTGGATCTTGTTTGATTGGAATGTTTGGAAATCTTAAATAAGATTCTACTTCCTCTTGCTCAGGCTGAATAGACATGTTTGATAAAGGCTCGTCGTCTTCGGCTTCTTTTATCAAACTATCACAAGCAGACCAGACACCCGAGAAAATCTCATTTTGATTTTGTCGCGGCGCCTCTGTAGAATGAGGACTCTCTCTGTTTGTATTATTTGTAATTAATGAAATCAGCATTCTTCTCGCATTCATTCTTGTAGATTGCAGAGTGAACGTACGCAATTTATAGCGCGGATCTAGTGCTGTTGCTAAAATAAATGTTTCATCGTTCTCTAAATAATCAAATCTATCATTGATCCCAGCTATCAAATTCAGTGTAAAAGCATTATATTCAGGGCTATAAGCATTATCATCATCCATAGCCGTGGTGTTCTTGATACGATCTAAGACTTTTCGCAAACTGTTGATCAGCGGTATGGCGTCAGACAAACAAGCAGACTCTTGGCTAATGGACTTTGTTGCTTCTTCAAAATAAGTCAACGCTGAGACAACCTGTTCCATTAGTACCCACTCTTCTGTAGCCAATTCAGTTCTACATTTCACATGGGGTAAAGATGCTTGAACCGCAACTCGCTGCTCAAGAAGTCTCCTAAGCGCTTGAAGGGTAGAATCCCAGCGAGTGACGACATCCTGGATGAGCACATGACAAGGAACATTATGAGATTTTTGCATTTCAGTAAGGATTTTACGACCCGAAGTAGAATGACTGAAGTGACCAATTATAGACCTCGCCTTTGTAATCATTTCATTTATTTTCTCTTCTCCCGAAAACGCATCCTTCAGCACTAATTGTAAAGAGTGTGCCATACATCTGATACGTTCCACACCCAATTGTGTTACAGCAAGCCCCATATTCGGTGCATTATCTGCTACTACAGCTCGTACCTGTTCGTCAATAGCCCAATCTTGAAATAACTGACGTAAGTTTTCAGCTATGTTTTCACCGCTATGTCTTTCGCCTTCAAAAGGAAATACTGCTAGGCAGTAGTTCTTTAGCTCAAAATTGTTATTCACTCCATGAGCAGTCAGACTTATAAAGTCGTTCACGGATGAAGAAGCGTCGCTAGTCCATAAGTCAGTCGTTACAATTATGTGCGGAAGTTCTTGCAAAAGTTCTTTTATTTTCGTTTTCATACGACAGTAAATGTCTGGTATCACATTTTCAGAGATATGTGGACGGGAAACCATTTTGTATTTCGGGCACAACTGCTTAATGGTGCGTTGAAACCCCTGTTTATTTACTATATCGAACGGCTCCATATCTACACATATTTGTTCAGCTATCGTTTGCGTGATCGCTTTTGCTCTGGGGTCATCAGTATCGTACATAACATTTTTGTCTAGAATGTGTTCCAAAGTAGCTTGTTTTTTGAGTGGCGGACCGGCCTCAGTCGTCGAGGTAGATGGGGTGTCGTTTTTCAACTCCTTTTCATGATAACGCTTCACGTGTGTCCACATGTTAGATGTCGTAAAGCCCTTCGATGAAACTGCCTTACTACCACGAGAAACGCTGACATTGCAGTATAAACAAGTTGCTTTTGTATCATCATCCTGTTTTATTTGAAAATGATTCCAGATGGAACTTGTACGTTTTAATGGCGTTGCCATTTTCTATTATATAAATTAAAACACCGTAACAGTCCTCACTAGTCAGTGTCAATAATTAAACAGAATGAATTACAAAATAAAAGCGGCGACGTAACGTAAATTGAAACACGACATTTCTCAACCAAAGCTTAGCAAGCACTGGGGCCGGGCCGGGGGACATTGTGTTGGCCGGCCCAAGCGACCGGTAAGACGACGCGACGCTAAGAGCGGCAACGTCGCACGCGTCGTTCGTTTCGCGCGCTTTTCGAACTGGTTGATATCGGCCGTGTTGTATCGGCGTTGCCGATATATCGGCCTGCCGATTATATCGGCCGATATATCGGTATCGGTATCGGTATCGTTACATCCCTGGTTGTAACGTGACACGGATGTTTAAAAATCGTGATTTTTAAATAATAAAGTTTTTATAAATTCGTAATTTAATCATAAAAGTAAATGTTTTTAAGATTCTATATCCGTAAGATGTTCTTTTTCGTCTACAGTCAACTCGCGGATTAAATACCTAATCTTTATCATTTATAATTAAACTTAATATGTATACAACAGGTGGGTACAACGTATAGGACTACGGAGTTCAGTAAAGCCTTCCCGGCGGCATTCCTGGAGGCTTTATTGCGCGTGTCCAGTGTCGGAGACGCGGGAACTAGAGTTTTACTGCAACGGATACTGCACACTCTGCTCGACAGGAAGGGAAACGCACCGCATCTAGTTGCGCCCACGTTAGTATATATTTGACGTACGGTTGTGATACGATTTTGATACGATCGTGATACGATCGCAATCCGATTTTGATACGATCGAGATCCAACTGTTATCCGGTTGTGTGCTGCAAATACAGAATAGTATAGATCTTATCATAAGTTTAGAATTCTAGCTTTGATCTATTCTAGCTAGAACCAAACGGTTCTTGTGTGTGTTTTCATCTACATATCTTTTACGTCACCACTGCCTTATCGTTCTTGTCATCAGGCCTTCCTTATGGATGGTTAAGGAGGATGGGCCATGACACTCCACGCTGGCCCAAAAACGTATTGTAAGGTATTAACGACTGCAAATGCAGCTGGCACTAACGTCTTCACGTGCCATCGGAAGCACAGACTCTGTCGTGATATTAGTTTTGGTCACCCATCCCGTGACCGACCCTTGCGAAAGTTGCCTAACATCAATGATCGCTCATAAACTAAATAGTTACTTGAGGGCTGGGTGTAAAGGCAAAAGGCTATATCTATTTTGAAAGTAAATAAATAAAAGAAGAAACATTGTAATATCGAGAATTTTTCATAAATTTAAGTTATGATTGTAATAAAACTCATATCTGTGACGTAGTTTTCTTATGACATATTATTTTAGTGTTATTTCTTGGTACACACAGCAGCAGTCAGGTTATTACAATTTGAAAGAAAGAAATGTATTGACAACAAATAACATAATCATTAACATATACAAGATGGTCGATTTTCTCAATTTTTCAATTCTACCCCCAAAACATTAAGGTTTAAACTCAACTGCAGAAATTTGACAGATTTGTATACAAAACTTTTTGAAATTTATCACTGTTGATGTGTACGTGCCCTTTTAAGATGTTCCTTTAATTTTAGTGTGGACTATGCGGAACTTGGACTAGCTGTAGAGAAATGTTCCCGACAGGATCTTATCTTCATTAGCAAGCACGGCTACGCTATATACATCTCCTTATATGACGGTAACAATAACATTATTCTAATATTGAATAATTCATTATTTATTGAGTTATGTAGAACCGCAGTTGGTTACTATTATTATTCAATTGGTGATGGTGATAAAAATCTTCGATATTTTATATTCTTACATTAATACAGATAAAGACTGAGTGAAAAAAAAATGTATTTGGTCCGTCAGTCAGATGATTATTCTAATATTTAATAATTCATTATTTATTGAGTTTTGTAGAACCGCAGTTGGTTACTGTTATTATTCAAATGGTGATGGTGATAAGAATCTTCGAAATCGTATATCCATACATTAATAAACATGAAGAATGGGTGAAAAAAAGAACTATTTGGTCTGGGAGTCAGAGGATAGAAGAATATTAGATGCGGGTTTTTTGTTTCAATTTAACAAGAAATGGCTTAAATAATGAGCATTAAAGTTAAGGAGTGGGGGCTCGCTATGTCAATGTACAAAGGTGTTACGTCACACGACATTTCAACTCAATGTATCGTCGTAATTTATCGATTACGGAAAATATTCTTTTATTTAAATATTATTCAATAATAATCTCTGACGGACAAAGAGACAAAAATTATTCATCCCTATTATAGCAAGTCGATTAACTTGATTTCAGCAAAGTTTACAGGAGACGTAAAATTTCATTATTTAAATCCATTTGTCCATTCCTTATCTATTAATATACTATGTTAAATGATTTGGGAAGTAGAGGGTAACCATTTTTTTAAAAGTGATATCAGAGGGGCTTTGATAGATCTTACTTAAGCTCCCAAAAGCCTCAAAAGAATTTAAAAGGAATTATTATAACTAGTATCTATGAAATCTCAATAGGAGAGGGTCGACTAATGTATCAAATATAATCGTATGTGATATGTATACAGGTCTTCAATTAGAATCGAACACTCTCGAAAACATCGAAGCTATTTACACGACACTTGCTCTTCTCTGCATAGAGTTGGCATCAGAGGAGACGCTATGTGATATGCTACAGTTGATATTAGCGTGAGTAAATATATTATTATCTAAATATGTATTAAGTTACTTACTTATTTCGATTTAGGCTGTTACAGTAAGATACTATTGATCCGACTCTGACTCACTGATATAGTTGACAGTTACAATAGTAAATTATGAAATATGTTTTTGTTCTTTTTTTTTTATGTAGAGGCCTTAGTCTCTGAGCGATTATATTAGCCAATTGTGTACAAATATAAAATTACTTCCTATAATTAATTGTCCCATCATTTTGTACATTTTAATAGTGACCTTAGATAATGATTGCGTCAGTATAATATTACACAAACCTACATCTCTAAAGATCCTATTAACATTTAATTCTAGCGATTCACGTTCAGATTTTATGCAGTAACACGTGATAAGTATCTTCCCTACTGCCACATATAGTACAATTGAGGGAGTCTACTACTTTCATTAAATGTCCCAACGCATGAAATATGTTGGAAATGGTAACTTATATGACTACACAATAGCTGTCGTAGTAAGTATTTTTTGTTTTAAAATTAATTGTTATTATGTTTTATTTTTGTATAATTTATATGCTACTTAAATTTGTGGATTACAAGAATGCAGGCGGCCATGATTGACTATCGTGACGTCATATTTCAATAAACTAAACGTCAACCCCTATTTGCTAATGCAACCAGTAGGATAATTTTGCTAATGTTAGCGTAATTAACGAAAGCCAATAGTTCTTATTATTAGATCATAAAATAATAAATATATCTGTCACCATTGATTTGCGAAGACGACTTTAAAATCATAAAATTGGACTTCAGGTAGATAGTACAATGGTAAAATGCACGTAGTTGAGATTCTATTGAGATTCGATTATTACGTAAACATTAGCTGAATTGAGGCCCATGAAAAATGCTTAAAAATCCACTTTGTCCCTATCACGTCCTGGGTTAGAGCAGTCGCCCGGACTGTGATAGGTCGTGGATTCGAAACCTATCTCAGAGTTCCAGAGACAAAGTGGTTTTTTTAAGCAAATTGATCAATTATAATAAACGATTATTATTTTATTAGTATTCAGCAATCGGCGTTAACGAACCCGGTACTGAGCGTGGCGCAACAGTGTCAGCTTCAAGCTCTGGTCGCATCTCTGGCGGCGTTATTGCCACACGTGATGCCATTACCGCGCCTGCAGGAATACGTGAGGAAGGTAGTTATTCAATGTATATATTTATGATAACTCAATGGCGCAGGTTAAGCAACTTTTGCAATGGTCGGTCATGGGATGGGTGACCAATTTTTTTTTATCAGTCGATCTCAGTCGCTAATTCCCACCAATCCGCACTGGGCCCGTCTGGCAGGTCATGGCCCATTCTCCTCGATTTCATTCGATTCCATCTGTAGAGAGGGCCTGAGCCCCAGCAGTGGGGGCGTTAATATCCACTTCCTGGCTATCGATTGAGATAAAATTTTTCATGTATATGTAACTTGGATGACAATGGTTTCGGTAGTTCAGTAGAACACTCGTTCGGATAACGATGAGTCGTTGATACGAGTCAGGCTCAGGTGTATGAGACGGTTATTCCCAAGTATTTTTAGAATAAAGTATCAAGTCTTCTTAATGAAAATGCTTAAAAAATCACCAGCCCCTGGTACTCTGAGATGGTACACGAACCCACGACCTTTCGTAATCCGGGAGACTGCTCTAACTACTGAGCTACCCAGGATCCAACAGTACTGACGAATTTTTCAAGCACTTGTTACTTTTCTAAAGAAATATTTAAACTTCCAATTAAGATGAAAATTTGTTCTAATATGACAACCTTTCTTTTATTTTATAAATAAATATTTCATTAATTTCTGAAAAATAATGTAGAAGTAACAGTATGTCTGCGATTAGTGCATGGAACTGCTGCTAGTCAGCCGAACACGCTCCCTACAAATTCAAGGCACTAACTGACGTCACACAGTGTTACAGTAGCAAGAAACGTATGGCGTCTGGGCAATTTTTGTAATATTTTTGTTATTTGTGCGTTTATGAATAAAAGTTGTTAAGTTTCATGTACTAATTCAATGCCATATGTATTTTAGCAAATTTTGGTAATATATTGTCCCTACTTTTTTCAAGTATTCAAAGTGTAATTAATATTTTGCAATTGAGTCTCATAAAATTCATTTAAAAATATTTATGTTAAATATTTATAAATAAATAAATAAATATTTAACAACATCACATACATTGCTCAGATTCCAAGAAGAAAAGCCCCCGTATTATGGAGTATATGAGACAACGAAGGTACCACAACACCTTGATTTAAATGGTTGATATTTTCCAAAAATATAACAGAAACTTGTATATTCACTTGTAGGACAGAAGCCTATTATTACATTTTATCAATTTTGCATCCACAATGCTATACTGGAAAATGTTTTTAATGAAAGTTATGCTATAGTTAATCGAATTTTTTTGTCAATAGATCATCGAAGCTCGTGCTTCAGATGGTCCGCAATTGCTGCCTCCACTGCGCCGCGAATATCCACATCTGGCACCAGCTGATATGCCAGGAAGTATGCCGTATCTGATGTTCGATCAGGTAAGTTTCAAGTTGTTTTCATACTATAAATACTTTATATGCCTATCAATTTTTGGGTCACCCATCCTATGACTCACCGTTTAAATTATTCTAATCACTTTGCATTAGGTCTTAAGCATTAAGTCTTTAGCATTAAGTCTGCCATTATATTTTATACGCGCATAAAGTATCAGATAAATAAATAAGTGATAGGAAGCATACACATATTTTTCTTAAAATATCTGAAAAAACTAGTATTTTCTAAATGAAAGATTCACAATAGTCCATACTTAATAGTCTATAAACGCGAAAGTAACTCTGTTTGTGTTACGTTTTCACGCATACACTACGTAACCGATTTTAATAAAATTTCTTACAAAGATAGAGTGGACCTTGAGAAAGGATATAGGGTACTTTTAATCGCGAAATATAGGCTTGAAAAGTACGATAATAACTGAATTACATTCAGGCGAAGCCGCGGATGGAAAGCTAGTAATAAATATGTACACATATTTTCAGATACAATAATCATTATCATCAACTCTTTTTCCTCTCCACTGCATCGGCTCTGCCTTCCTTATAGATGGTTAAGGCAGATGATCCTTCACGCTATCCCAACGTCGATTGGAGGCAATTAACGACTGCAAATGCAGCTGAGAAAAAAAACTTAACGTGCCTTGCAAAACACGGTGTAACTCGAGATAATAATAATGTTTTGGTCACCAATCCCGTGACTGACCCTTGTTAAAGCTGCTTAACAACCACGTTCGCGGTCCGTGGCGCTTATCCACTACACCACCGTACTGGATATGATAATAATAAATAATTATCATATTTGATCAATTTTGAATTTACAATGCCATAGGTGCTGGAAAATATTCTTAATGAAAAAAAAAACACCAGACCCAGGTATTCTTGAGATAGGACTCGAACCTATGACCTTTCGCAATCCAATCGCTCTAACCACTGAGGTACCCAGGACCTAACAGGCCTGACTATAATTTCTAAGTATTTTTCATTTTTTTTGAAGAGTAAATAAGTTTAATAGACTCTATCAGTGCTACTAATAAGCAAGGTTTAGCGTCAGAGTAAATTTAAAATTGCAATTTTAGTATTAGTCCATATTCATATTACACAGAGAATAAGCAAATATACTTCCTTCTAGAAGCATATATTACTCCCGTAGAACCTCGTACTAAGTTAACCTTTGTTAAGTCTCTGTTGAATAATATAAATTTTGACTAATAAGAAGAGCAGTCTCAGTGTAAATTTACTCCAACGTTACCTTGTTTATAAGTAGCACTGTAAAACTATATTTCAATTAAAACTATATCTTATTAATATTTATTTTTAGATGGCAATTTGTGAATGCGTGAAAGCTAGTGGATTGGATATTGCGAGACTGCAAGCGGCGTCTCCATACGCTGGGGGTACAGCTATAGGGATGGCACATAGGCATAGCTGGGTCGAGGCCGGTAAGTTTTTTTTTTTTTATTTTATACAGGGTTATTTGCAAAATGAGTAACCTCTGAAGAATTAATTTATTTAATTGAAACCACAATTTTATCAACAATCCACAGTAATTTCTCATGTCAATAATAGTAGGAGTACAATTTTAGGGTATCATAATGCATACGGATTTTCATTATTTAATTAAACAATGCAATAATTAAAAATAAAAAATAAGTTCAATAACTAAAATCCGACTACAGTTAATCATGCTCTAAATAGTTTGAAACAAGAAATTGATTTTAAAGCAATATTATATAATAGCGAGGACTAAAGGATGCGTAGCCGTATTCCATTGATCATAACAAAACAAACTCTTGTGGCATACGACTACGCTGTCCTACGCTATAAAATATATTGTTTTAAACATCTTAGAGCGTGATTTAGGTGTAGTCGAATCTTAGTTTTTGAACTTATATTTTTATTTAATGAGGAATTATTAAAAAACGAAAGCACTAAAAAGCACCTCCACTAGATGGCGACTCTAGCAAAAGTTGATTTTTGACGGAAACGAATGGACCAAAGACAGTCATTTCCGTTCCTTTTAATTAACATATTAAAAAACTGATATTTTAAAAGTTCGAAACTTACATATCAATACAAATACGAAAAAATACAAATAGAATATGAGTTGTTTACTGAGTTTTGAAAACTAATTTACTGTTAAACATGAAAGAAAACCAGAAGGTTTGTCATGGAGAAATCAAGAACGTACTGTAGCAACATCTAGTTTGATTTCAGGAACTAATGTTTTTTTTAAATACTTCCTCATTAATTTTGGGTGTATTTAAGCAAAATCACATTCAAAAGCTATCAATATACATTTATATATATAGCTTATATATATATATATATTTACATCACGCTACTTATTTTATTACTTAATGCTCTCTAGAGGGCGCTGTTACCAATTTAATGTAACGTCACATAACCTATAGCACGCGGACAACTAATACGCTTCTAATATATTATTACGTCATTTATCCAGTTACGATGATTACTTTCGAGGTTATAAGTGAAAATATGAAATTGATTACCCTTCCTTCTCGTTTCGCTGTAGTCGGGTAAAAACAAATAGTAACTCTCGACACGTGTGTTTTCGTATGTGTTTGTGTATTACTTACTTAATATTATTTACTATATAAGTTTAATTACTATTAAATATTATAACTAAATATATCAATGATTGCAAAACGTTTATTGTAAGAGAACTTATAATAACGTTACAATAATCTTTTTATTGGATTTTACATAACTACGCAAACTGTGTAAGAGCAGCTCTATATCACATTACATTGCCTAATTGTGTCAGTTTTCTTTAGAGACATTAAGTTAGCCGATGCCCAATATTTATCTCGAATGCATTTTCACTTTCATTCAAAAACAATATAATTACCAACTCCGAATATTAGCGCCATCTATCGTCGCCAATTATAAATAATGTATCCTTGACAATGGTGGTTGCTAGGTGCGGCTCAAGGACGAGACAGTTTGGCCGATATCACCGGCCCTGTCACCGAATTGGACAGCGCTAATAGCTCGCCGGGAGTGCAAAGGGTGAGTTAAATTATTAAAAATAATAATATAATTTATTTCTTTTCACACAAAGTTGCGTAATATGTTTATATATATTATAATAATGAGCTGGTGCCTGGTGTAAGTTTCAACAAGAAACCGGCTACATGAGTCACTACGCCTTGTTTGTAAAAGTAAACAATGTCTATTTAAATTATATCATTGTTTATTTTAAAATTTGCCGAAAATGTATTATATAAACAGATATATTACTATAATAAATAAGATAACATATCATACATTGCTCTGATCTCAAATTTTATATATATATATATTAAAACAAATTATATGTAGGCTAAATTTTCAGTCAATCCATAAACTGGTCTAGAAGTTTCGAAGGAAATCGGTGGGCTAATTGTCTAATTTCAAAATCTATCACAACCTCTTTTATAGGTTTAGAATTTATGAAAATATGTAACGTTTTTATTCGCAATCGCTTTAAGAACTGATTAGGATTTGAACGACCCTGAACTACAATAAAAACTTAGTTAAATCTGTCGAAAGATTTCAATAAGCATTCAACTCTTACGCTTGAAATTTCTCAAAGCTTTCAAAGATGTCTGCGTCTAACGCTTGCCTTAAACAATTCAAATTAACGATATCGTTCATTCAATATCTTACTAAATAAACGTCATCAATCACACGTCAATTGTTGTAGCGTGAAAGTTTGCAAATAAATAAATAATAATAAATAAATATTTAACAACATCACATACATTGCTCAGATTCCAAGATGAGTAGCTAAAGCCCCCGTATTATGGAGTATCTGAGACAACGAAGATAACACAGCACCCAGACCCGAGTTAATATAGAAAAGTTCATTTTCTACATTGACCCGACCGGGAATCGAACCCAGGACCTCAGAGATGGCGACATCTTGAAACCGGCGTGCGGACCACACGGCTATGGATATGGATATATCTTTCATATGTTAAATTAAAAGGGGGTTTTAGATAGATTTGAAAACTACACAATTGGCCCCCAATACTGTCAGTCTGATAGACAAACAATAGACAATCAGGTGATCCTGAAAGGGTGCAGTTTATTTTCTTTTGAGGCAGGGCGCTCTGAAATTTCATATTTCTCTTTAAATTGTACAATATTTAAATATATATATATATAATAATGGCGCTCATAATTAGAAGTAACGTACTTTTATGTTAACATTTTAATCTAAATGCCTTCCTTTAATCCCGTATAATATTTCTATAGCAAACTCAGTACGATGCCCTAGACGAGGAATACAGAATGTTCATCGAGAAATACAATCACAACCATCGACCGATCACGCAATGTTTTGGCGCTTATGTAAATACTGTTAAAGTCGATTATGCATTATTCATCATTACTCACATGTTACATTATCGATCTTATCGGCTACTTTATACAAACAGTGGTTATCTATTTTTAGATAGTAATTTGCCTTGCCTTTTGTGCGATAGTATAATGTAATAGCTCCAGGAACTTCACCTTTTGTAGTCATTGTTTATTTCGTCGAAATATTAATACATTTTTATTATTAACTATAATTCGTACAATTATTTTTAGATTAAACATTTAGTTAACTGGTAATGTATTACATAAATAATACTGTATATCGTGATAATTTTATTCGAGCTTTAAAATATGTTAGCTTTGTTTTGGGAGGAATAGAATAGGCCTTCAGTTGTCATCTTGATTCGTATGAGTAACAGTTAGTAATATTAAGAAGGTAGGTATATAGAAATATATTGTTATGTACGCACGGCTGCACATCACGCTAAATGTTACCACCGTAACCAGACCTCTGTTAGTAGGGAAATTCACTACGAAGCGCGGTAGGTAGTAAAACCACAATGTATAGTCTATATGTGCGGCTACACATCTGTGGGTACTACTTTTTTGTTGCAATTACAAATTCGAACATAATATTTAATACCTTGTAGTTAGTAAAACTACCTTTATTATTCCTCTCCCTTTCTCATCCTGTCTCTCTTTCTCACCTTTTTCCATTACAGCGGAATGATGTAGATTTTTGGAATTGGCGCCACGACTACAGCGATAGTGAACACGACACTCGAAAAGACAGACGTCCCTCACTGGTATACATGTTGAAAATGCTTTTTTAAAACTGGTCGTTTAAAAACTGAATACTCTATTAGTTTTATACTTTATTATTTCTCTGACTAGGGCTAATAGCTTGTTTTTTAATTGCATCAATACATACTGTTAAGATCAAATAATGAAAATATTTATTCGAATAACTTAATGAGATATATACTTTTAAAATTTCGATCAAACAGAGATATACTACTAGACTGTGTCGTCAAAGTCTAGTGAATCATTAGCTTCGTAAATTTTAGAGTGCGTGCCCTTCAAATTCTCTACATTATTTTATAAGCTAATATTTAAATAAGTTGATAAAAATTACCCATTTATATTTCAAATAGCCTACTTGATTGTTTTGGAAAAGTATTACAAAACTTTAAAATGATCATACTAAAACACTTTCAGAATTATTTTTCTCTAAAAGTGTTGAAAAACACATCTTTATCCACTAATTAAAGTAGGGCTAAGAAAGAACCTCTATTTAGTCCGTCAGTCAGCTATAAGAAAAATATTTAATACGTATTTTCTTTTACTTCAATTTAACAAGAAATTGATTAGATAATAGGCATTAAAGTTGAAAAAAGTAGAAAAAAAAAAACATATGAAAAGGTTCATTTATACCGCAACATATATTTTAATAATAATAATATTCTTTATTGCACGCTAAACAGGACATATTTCACAGAAACTAGAAAAAAGAGAGAGAATACAAAAGGCGACCTTATTGCTACATAGCAATATTTCCCAGGCAACCCGAGGCATGATGAAACAAAAACATGAAATATGTAACAAAAAGGGGGGGGGGGGGGTGCAAAATGGAATAAATAAAATAGATATAGATAAAAATTCAATTATCATACATATGCACTGAAACTTACGCCATGATTGAAACCCTTATTGTAATAATGTTCATTTGATTACAAATCCCGCGGGAGAGTCACACTTCGGCATGAATGGGCCGGCTCGACCGGAGTGATACCACGGCCTCACAGAAAACCGACGTGAAGCAACGCTTGCGTTGTGTTTCGTCGTGTTAGTGAGGGTACCGCAGGCCCAACCCCTCCCTATTCCCTTCCCTCTACCCCTCAACCCTTCCCTCCCTATGATCATATTCGTCCCTCAAAGGCCGGCAGCGCGCTTGTAGCCCCTCTGGTGTTGCAGGTGTCCATGGGCGACAGTTATCACTTACCATCAGGTGATCCGTCTGTTCCACAAAAAATGCTGCCGCCTATCCCATACAAAAAATTAATATTTATTTATTTATTGTTGTGATTTTAGCATCCAATGCAATCGGAGAGCGTGAGTCTGGAAGCGTTGAGGCGGGCCGCTACTGGTCCAACGGAGGCGGAGAGGCGTGAAGCTGAGAGGCGTAAGGCAACGTTGAATAACACGTTCCGTACCGCGCCATTCGGTACACTGGTCACTATCACTCAACCTAAGGTAAATACACATTTTGCAATGACTTACCTCGCGATAGGGTATTTTTCTCTGTTTAAAATATAATGTAAGTGTTTATTTTGATTTGAATAACCCACGAAACATATGTTACGGAAAAACAAATACGTTTTTTTTGCTTTAAAATTAAATTAATTTAATTTATACCCGCGAAAACGCTGTCATTCTGAAATGTACACAAAACATATGCTTAAAGAAGAAAGATGCCAATAAAGCAAGAACAGTGCCATCTAACGATCGATTACGAACTAGAAAGATGTAAATAAACTGAGAACAGCGCCATCTAGGAATTTGATTTATATACATACCTTACCTTAATGATTAACCTGACAGCTGTCGCCACAGTGATATCACATAATGGCGAGTCGTGTTGCAAGTCACGTGACACGCAGATAGAAAATCTTGTCTTATAAGACAATCGTGAGATTTTATAACACAAAATCAGAATCTCTGTGCTTATTACGATGTAAGTTTTAGTTTTTGTGCAATTTTGTGACTTTGTTTTTCACTACCGAAAACACTCTATTGGTAATCTAGACATCAAGCTGTGTCGTAAGATTGTATTTCCAATTTAGAAAAAAGTGTAGTTAGTGTTTGAAGCTTGCATTTGTTTTTTAGCTCCGTAGCCGAGTGCTTCGCACGCCGGTTTCAAGGTGTCGCCATCTCTGAGGTCCCGGGTTCGATTCCCGGTCGGGTCAATGTAGAAAATGAACTATTCTATATTGACTCGGGTCTGGGTGTTGTGGTACCTTCGTTGTCTCAGATACCCCATAATACGGGGGCTTTAGATACTCATCTTGGAATCTGAGCAATGTATGTGATGTTGTTAAATATTTATTTATCTTTATACTTGCTATCATCTATTGACGTTTCTGCGAAAATTCCTAGAATAGCCATGTCCAATTGTAAGCGTTGCTCGTTCACTTGCGGCATCTAGCACCGACTCAAGTAAGACAAAATAGCGCGAAGAATAGCCCGAGTTAGGACGGTCACATTTTGTTCTATGGGATAAGACATCTGTATAATTTATGTGACTTGAGTAAATAAATATTAAACTAAAAAGTTATTCCTTTTTATGACGTATATGGATCGCATAAGATCAATAGGGCTTGATCATATAGGCTGATAATTATTAATGCATAGTATAAAACAAAGTCGCTTCCCGTCTGTCCATATGTATGCTTAGATTTAAAAACTACGCAACGGGTTTTGATGCGATTTTTTTTTATGTAAGGATGACTTAAAAATAAAGGTTTTTAGGTATAATACAAGACCACGCCGGCGAAGCCGCAGACGGAAAGCTTGTTACAAAATTAAAATGTAAATAAAGAATATGATTGTGGAAAATTATTTTGATCTTAACCAAATAATGTTTTAAATAATATTATATTTTAAAACATTCTTAATGAAAAATGCTTATAATATAATATTGTATTGTCGACAGTACGAGATAAAAGAGAAATTGGAGGAGATTTTCAATTCAATATCTGAGGAACCGTTACTGCCTACATCAGGCTCGTGTTCACCTGGCAGTCAGTCAAAGTCCTACACGCAGAACGTGCCACCATACACTAAATACTTCCCAGAACTGTTCCTATACTAGGTGAGTGATTCTAGGAAATTCAAAAAAAAAAACAGTCAATGTGAAAATCAAAGTTAAAATTATAATTCATAGTTCAAGTAGAAATTCATAGTCAAAGTGAATAAAGTCTACTTTATTTCTTGCTTCGTTTATTGTTTATTTATAAATATAAGAAAAATAGAAAATATCACCACCATTTCTTAATGATTATCGTGTTTAAATTTAAAGAAGTATTAGTTTCATACAAATAGAATGTCGTATTTCATTATACACCTTATTGTAATGAAATAAATTTCATTTCAGTTTTACAGTTCAACAATAATATGGGATGTACTAGAACGACGATGTCTAGAGCCTGTACTGTATTTTAGTCCAATATTCCAATCGTTTGTCTCTCAATATTTAACTATGTTAGATTGTATTTTCTTAATTAATTTATTGCGTGTGAGGTTAAATTTAATCTTATATTGGAGTATTGCTTAATTGGATTATAGTTGAATTCGGAACAAAAAAGGTTAAGTTGTTAATGCTTCCTCTATGACTGAACGGTTATTCATTCTATATTGACTTTATATTGATTTATTTGTCTCTTATGATTGATTAAAAGATTGTTGTAGGTGAACAAAGGGTAGTATGATGTAATATTGGTAATTCATTTGTTAAGTCGACAGATGGCGTTTAATTTTTTTCTTTCTAAAAATGATAATATCTATAATTAGTTAAGTTTTCCGCTCTACTATGCATTCAGTAAATTTCAATTTTCAATGTACCTTTTTTTAAAAGTGAAAGTGTGACAAACATTTTGGAAAATTCAGAATTTTTGTTTTTTTTTTTTTTATTTCATTAATTCACAATATTCCTTTATAAGCGTTAATCTTATTACAATATAAACATGTTTTATTGATGAATAAATTTTAATCATCAAAAGAGAACGAGGAGCTCGTCCTTGTTAAGCAACCTTCGCAACGGCAAGTCATAGGTTGGGTGACCAAAAAGTTATCATCTCGAGTTTCCACGTGCTTCCACGTGCACGGCGCGTTGAGACATTAGTGGTTAACACTCACTAATCCGTACCGGGTCTGTTTACACTATTTAATAACATTTATAGGGAATATCTATTTCCTTGCTATCAATAGTCTTTTAGCGGAAAACTTGTTTTAAACATTTTCATTAATAAATAAAATTATCATCGTATGGCGCCATTTACTGACACTAAAAACTAATTTCACCGTGACGTTCCACCATATTACGTATAACGTTCCACCACACAATACATCATATATTATAATTGACTTTCAAAGATAAGAGACAAATAATAATTGAAACATTCCTTGTGTATTTATTTAGCGAAATTCAAAGTTTTTTTATAAAGACTTCTGTGCATACTAGATAAGCTATTTACAACTAAAATTGAGTCATAGGAGCTTCGGCTTATAAGAGCGGGTAAGAAGAAATTCAGGAAAGAATAAGCGATATGGCAAAGTAGATTGTCCATGAATGTATGGAATTTGTTTTGGTATTGTATCATGATATGCCTTCGTGTTATTTGGCACGTTTTTGCAGTTTTATATGTTTACAGTCAATCATGATATATTATATCTCTATAATGCAGGAATTCCGAGAAAATGCTAATTAATTGTATCAAATTATTTGCATAGCAAACCTCTTGAGGTTCTATTCTTAAATTAAATTTTGGATATGACATTAAAATAAATAATAGTGCAAGGCAGATGACGAAACAGTTTAAGAAGGATTGTATTGTTTAAAATGTCTTTTTTTTATTATTTACCGGAACATTGATAAATTTGCCCTTTCCAACACCTTAGCGACAAAACTTTCAACTTACAGCTCGTCTAGTATTAAACATAGAAGTCTATAAAGCGTTATCTTTATTGGGTATTATTGTACCTTGTACGAAATGCATGTTTATTTATTCATTATAGACAAAATTAGTTTTTGATCAAACAATGTGTGGGATGATTTAGTTTAATATTAAAAACTAGGGTCCATTTTGTTGTACACTATCTATCTATATTTACCATGTTTGAATTTAGAAAGGGACAGAATGCTAAAAAATATCAAATAAGTTGACAGAAAATTTGGCAACATGTTTTTTTTTTGAGAATTATTTCATCTCTCCTAGTTCAATTTTAATATTAAGTCGCTGATAAAAAAATATTTGATTTTGATTATGCGGTGTTTTTTATTGCCTAGTAGTAATAGACAAGTGGACGACTTAAAGTTAATGCTTACTATATAATTATATTTGGTCAATTTTGCATTATTAATGAAAAATGTTTAAAAAATTCTTTTGCCTCAAGTCCCCTCTCACCTAGGGCAGATGGATTTATTAAGCATTTTTCATTAAAAGTAATAGTCACTATATATCTCCCAATCTCTGAGTTCCCCTGTTCGATTCCTTGTCGAGCCTACCTTCATTGTTTCAGATTACCAAATACAAGTGCTTGTGCTTTAAGCTGATTAATTTGAGATCTGAGCAATGTATGCGATGTTATGTTATTAATCTGTTAATTCAGGCAATTCCAATATTATGTCATCTATATAAGGTAGGTCTAGTATCTATATAAGGTAGGTATGTAAGGTAGGAATGTACTAAATGTACATACATCTGCACGTCAGGCTATCCTAATATGTCAAATTTCCCCATTTGATTTTGAACTCTACTCTCGATGTATTAAAGTTTAACATTTGACAGTTAATGTATAGCTTGAAGTGTTGTTGAATGTATATTTAATTAAGATAGTGTCCAACAGAATGTTCTGTGCTCATTACGTGTTTAATGGATTATGTTTTAGTTAACTAGTTTTAAGATAGAATCTCCTATGGTTATGTATATTTTTTATTGACATGTGTGTAATCTTCTCTCTTGGTAACTCTAATAGAGATTTCTTATACCCTAAAGAATATTTTTATCTGTATAATTATTTTCATCGTTAATGTTGCTTAAATTTAAAAAGCTAGTGCAATCAAGTATGAACTTTAAAAGTTGAATTCTACAACTCGGCCTATCCGTATAATAAAAATATATTTGCTAAGTCGCTGGCTTCGCTCGCATGGTTCCCGGGGAACCAGTTAGTAGGCTAAAGATTATTTTAATCCAAGCTTCGAACTATCCGTATACCAAATCTCATCAAAATCCGTTCAGTTTTTGGATGAACGAGTAACAAATATCCTCACAAACTATCGCGTTTCTAGTATTAGTAAGGATTCAGTTATAAAATCTGTCTATTCAAAAGTAGAGAGATAACGCATTGTAATTTAATTCTATATATAGTTCGAAATATTACTCTTGTTTTTTTTTCACCTTAAATTATATATTTTGTAACATCATCCATCATATTATTTTATACACTAAGTCACCGATTGTGTCAAAATGTGTATACTAATGTCCTTATCAATAACCAACGTATAAACGTTGTATATAGTGTTTTGTCTTTTTCATTCGAATCGAAAGTCACATTGGGATGATGTGAACAGAACTATGTGTAACTAAATAACGTTTATAAGTTTCTTATTAATAAGGGTATAAATATTTAACTTTATAACTCAGATTTGAATTGCAATTGCTCAAGCCTGATTCGTTTATGATGTGTATATATCGCCTTACATAAACGTAGCATATTTATATGATAGCTGATTTCAGCGTTGCATATACAAATGATATGTTTTGTTTATATGATTATATTTTTCATCAGAAATGTCTTATAAATAAAGAAATTAATACTTGAAATTAATATATTGTCGAAAATGTTTACTGCATTTGTCAGTATAGAAATGAAATTGATAATTATAACGCTAAATAGTTTCCATACAAAATAGAATAACCCAATGATTGGATAGTTACAGATTCTATAGATTGTATAGTATAGTTACATCAATTCATACTAAACTTTTGAATTTCTCCACTCCATTTCATACCTTAATAAATTGAGTTTAGAGTTCAAAATAGATTGTGGAAACTTGTCATAATGTTTTTGTTATTCAATTTATAATAAATATTACACATTGTACATTGTTATAATAAACATTGTTTTAATAGATTTTTAATGAAATTAAATAATTAATAATATATTGTTCTAGATAATTCACTGTCTTCAATGTGTTCAAATTTCGTATATTAAAAAGTGTAGTTATTATTATTATTACATAACTATTTAATATTTATAAGCAATAATGTTGTTATATCTCAATACAGTTGACGTTAGTTTAAAGGCTTATAAGTCGAAAAAAAAATTATGTGATTTATTTATTTTTTCATTAGGACTATGTGATTTTGCTTTATAACTATTTATTCAGTTATGAATTTCATCCATAATGTTATTAATAAAGTAGCAATTAATTGTAGAAAAGGTTAATTTAACGCAGTTGTTAGTTTTATGGTTCAGTTACACTGGTCGACTGACATCTTAATAGTCAATAAAACAATGACCGACCAATAAAAACGAGCCACAGATATCGTCCACACGCCGCACGCAGATGTTTTCGTATAGTGTAACTGAGCCAATTTATGTTAATGGGAGCCAACAAAATATTAAAAAAAAAATTCTAATCCTGATAAAAACTTAAACGAATATATATAGTGATGCCCGAGTCAGATGACCATAAGAACTTAAATCTACACTAGTAATTTTGAACTGTAGCATTAACAGATCAAGGTCTATAATTAATTGCTACTATAAGGAAATATTTATATTGTATTCATATCATATTTTTATAATGTCTGTTGGCTTTCATTTTATAACTAAACTGCATAAACAAATCTTGAGCCTTTATTATTTTAAATAGGCAGATATTGTATGAATCGAAGTTAGGAAAATGTAAAATCGGTTCAATATTACATGATATTAATTGAATGTATTTGAATATTAAACGGAGTACTGGGAAGGGGGTAAATGAGAGATAAGTAGGGGGGGGGGGGTAGGGGTTTGGTCCTTAACATATAATTATTATTAAGTCCAATAAGCCCAGTTATATAATGTAATTTGTAAGTTTAAGTACAA